CCATTTGAGAGTCAGCACTCGAAGATCATGAAGCGGTACGTTCGTTTGGTACTTCGGTTCAAGCGAGGCCATATGTTTGAGTTGTTTGAGTGTTCCGCAAGCAGTACGGAACTGGACATAATTCTTTAACATCAAGTTTAGATTGCAGAGGAAGTTGAAACTTACAAGGGAAGGCATCTACTTTAGATTGGGTCAAATAGAAGCATGTTTTATTCCAAATATGCTGCTCCTAGCTGCGGCGCAGAATTCCAAAACGAGTGAGCTTTTTTGTGCGAAATGGGTTCACTAGATATGGAAGACTGCGTGTAGATGTAATTCTGCCTATAAACTTTGCTAGGACCTGAAATAATACGAGACAAAGTTTTTTGTCATTAAAGGCAGCGTCCGGGCAGATACGAAAATGTAGAGTAAAGGGGCGCCTGTTCTGGTAAGGCTCTTGCCCAACTGGCAATGCATCAATCTTCCCGCACACAGTCAAGACGTAGGGTCCCACAAAGACTCTGCGTCTTAACCTTGGCGGCAGACGACAATTTTAAATTAAGAGCTTCTGGAAAAGCCCTTTTTCGTCATTTTTGTGCCCTCCAAGCTGCGCCTTCAAAATCAGCGGGAGAAATAAGGCATAAGCTAAAAAAATTCCATTCGAAATTTTGCCCGAATGCTGCCTTTATAACACCAAAGTTAACGCGGTGCGCTTAGATGATATTACCATATTGCCAATAAGTCAATAAACATGCATCTGCACAGAAAAATAACTCGCTTTAGAATGATGCGCCGCAGCTGAGAACGACATATCTGAAATTGGCGTCTGAAGCTGATTTTGACCATATATGTTTTTCATAAAAGGCCAATCAAGTCAGATGTCTTCTCGCTTAGTTACCAGATTTAGATTGTATACAGGAACAGGTTAACCCAAAATGTAGTAATGGATCACAACAAAAATTTGTTGTCACAATTTCTGGAAGTAGGTACCAAAGCAATTCCAAATTTGTTTGAGCTATCCAGAACGCTCTTGAGTGGAACGTTCTTTATATCCAGATGAAATTAAAAGCGCGACTGGTGAAGCACTTGTAATGATTCAGTACTTCAGTCGTGAAGTGATCAGCATGCATAGTGTGTAAACGGGCCAACTGAGAAATCAGCTGGATACGAATTCTGCACCTGGAACTCGTGGACGCAGCCACCGAGGACCACCAAGAAGATGGTGGATGTTACAATCAACAGACAGGAATTTATGGAAACTTCTGTGTTGTGGTCTGCACGCTGCGTGAAGACAAGCATGTTATGTAAGTATCTAATATAGGTAACTAACATATAACTCCTAAGACATAGTACCTTTTTGCAGATGCGATATCTCTCTATCTCATGATGGTGGCTGTCAGCGTACGACAGCGTACGGCTGCTGTGTTGCGCACGTGTTTTGGTACTGTACAACCTCACACTATGGTACTGTTTGTGAGCAAGGACCGAAAAAGTAGAGATACGTACATTGGTAAAACCGGGCGCTCCATTTGCTCGAGCCATAGAAAGTGGATAGTTTGGACAGTGGCAGTATTTTGGGCCTAAAGGGCCGGTCATACTTCACGCGATTTCAGTCGCGACGCGATTTGGTATTGTACCAACTGTCCATAACTCATCGCAAGCACATTTCAAATGCACAGAAGATAGGGCGTTTCATCAATTCACTTAAGTTATACACACTATGCATGTGCAGTTTGCTAGCGTTGGATCTGAATACTTCTGGCGAGCTGCCAAATCGCGTCGCGACTAAAATCGCTCGAAGTATGCCCGGCTGCAAGGCACACCTCAGGCGATCCCAGTCGCTGCGCGATCTGACACTGCAGCGACTTTTCATAATTGGTCGTAAGCGCGCTTTGCATAGGCTAGATTTGAAGTTTTTGCTGCAACTCACGGACGCTACGCGTTTATGCAATTTAGACTCGCGCACGGTTGATTTGTAATCATCTGACAAACCGCCAGGTCGCTTGGATGCAGCGATTCAACGAAATCGCGTGAGCGATTCCGGTCGCTGCGCGATTTGGCACAACAGCGACTCTTCGTAATTCGTCGTTAATGCGCTGTCTTTGATCAGAACTTGCTCCATTTGCAACAACTTACACAAGCTACCCAAATGTCTATCCGAGAAGCGCGCACGATAAATTTGTAGAAATCTGGCAAATCGCCAAGTCGCGTGAAAGTGGCGATTTGGGCGAATCGCGTGAGGTATGCCCGAGCCCTTACGGTTAGTGTGCATCGCAGGCTCAGCCATATGCAGAGCACGATAACAGTCTTCTAGCGTGAACACGATATCTCAGTGTGAAAGGCCTCCGAAGTATTCTCAGTAACCTAAACGAAGTGTATTTTACTAGGTGCATCATTAATCAAGACGAGCGCTACCTTTCCTAGCAATTTTTGCTTCAACACTTCACTTCCTAAAAAAGCACTTTTTTGACTTAGAGAAGTGCCTGGCCAGGTAGGCTTACAGACTGTTCAGACTCTAGTGAAGACGAAGCCGCGAAAACGTCAGTCTGCATTAGTGAAATGTGCACCAGCCTTGGTTATGTAACTGAAACAGACATACGAAAAATTATCAAACATTGCAAGTTTCATCGACCATCCAACTTGGCATCACACATGATTTCTATATCATCACTAAATTCGCTTTATCGTACTTTTCTCAATCTGCTGATCAGTTATATGTATTTGCCTCAAACAGTTTATGCCTTTCTGCTCCCTAATGACATCAGTCACTTCAATAAGCGATTTGAGAGTGCCGATGTCTTCACTATGTTCATTTTTTATTCCTCTTCATTTATCTAGTAGAGTGTCATTTGATAAACGACGTCAAAATTTCCTGAGTCTTGTTTTCTTTTCAACAGCAGTGAAACAGTTTTTTTTTCAGACATTTTTTTGGGAGGGAAGAGGCATGGGACTGGACGAGACAAAACCTTCTCTTTCTGATGAAAGGGCGTGGAACTTACAACCTCCCTTCGAGGAATTTTTTGATGATTTTTAGAAATTTTTGCTGGCTTATAGGCCAAAAAATTTATTCAGAAGTTAATTTGAATTCCTAAAATTTTTTTCGATTGTTTACAAGCGTATACGAGTCGTTTGCACATCTTTATCCATGCAGGCTACTTCATCGCAATCATTCATGCGAAAGGGTGGGAGGAGCTCCCCCCTCCTTGACTACCACTCCAGTGGATGCATGGTTAGATAGGCTTTGACATGAAAGAGATTTGTTCTGAACATGAGTCATAAAATATTATACATCTATCTTGGTTAGAGAAGATAAAATGTGCGTGATTGAAGTTCAGCCGGCGCATCTTCGTCACCAACAATTGTCCCTATATCACATTTCCTTTTGCAAAGAGGGTTATCTCTTGAAATATGTGCAAAGGTGGAGTCAGCATGCGTGCTCTTCCATGATACTGGACGTTTGGTGCAATTCTTCCACTATTCAATCTTCATTTTTCATTATGGTCTATATCAGTGATGCATCTGAAGAATGCACTCTCAAACCGGTATAAAATGAGATGAGAATTTGCTGGGATTGTTTTGCTTCACATCAGATTAGTTCTTATATATGAAGTTATGTCCATGTAAACATACTGATATGCAAAAAAGTTCAGGTCAATTGGATGCTTTGGTGGGAGGCTACGTGCTGAAATGCTCTTTTTGGGCACAAACTGACAAAATTTCTCAATCGACTCACTATTATAGTGACCAGCTCTTCTACAATACATTATGAGAGAATTTTACTGATGCGGTTCATGTAGTAGCGGATTTTACCTTGTGTTTACAAAGCCAGAAAGGTCGTAGAAAATTTTCAAGACTTTTGTCACAACTGTCAAAACCAATCTGCAATGCACTCTTCTTCTTTGTCTTTGTGTGGTTATTCGCCAAATTCGTACAGATTACAGAGCGCACAAAAAAGTCGTTCTTTGCAAGTATGTCAGTGATTTTCGTACCTATCAATCACTATCTACTGTGATCATAAGTAGCATATTTACGGCACCTTTATCGGCTTTTATCGTCATTTCAACATTTCCTCTACATTAACATAACTGTCAGGGCTCGGCACAGGTGGCTTACGGGGCAAGCTGGATATCGTTTTGGAATAAAAAGCAAGGGATATCGTTGAAACTGAAACCCCAGCCCCCCCTACACACAGTCGCTTTCTGTCTTTATGTCACCCACCTTCTAAACTGTCATTTCTGCCCTATCAATCTGCAAAAACCAAGAATTTCCTGTTTCAACATGTTCGCCCGTTAAGCGCGCGGATTCAAACTTCCCCGAAATAAACAAAGACTTGTTTACAGCAAATAGAAAATGAATGACACCAAAATTGGTGTGTAGATGGGCAATGGGAAGTTAGGAATATATGCAAAAAATTATGAAAAAATTATGTGAATTAAAGGCTTGGCAAACTTTTCTCGGAGTTAGGTGGCTTTTCAGCCACCTGGACAGCCACCTGAGGTGGCTAGAAAAATAAAAAGTCATACATTCCCCTTCTTTCACATAATTTTCTCACATGTCTAACATAGCCTTGTTCTAAAACAAAACCCTACAAGTGAGTTTTCTCCTTAAATCTCCTCTTCTTCGCCTAGTTACAGCCCTATATTTTGTATGAGGGCGGCAAGCCTGCCCCAAGCTCACAAGGGTGTGCGCCGGACAGAGCATGCCAACAATTCGGTGGAAACAGACATGTTTAGTTTTTTTTGTCTGTTCGATGTTGCTTTTATGTTTTGTTCCGTTACTTTTCGGATTCGTTTGGTCCAGTCATGATCGCATCATAGGTGATGTCGTATTTTTGTGCCGAATTCTACAGGGTCGTTTTCTCAGATTTGAAAAAGCCACCTCATGCCGAGCACTGAGTGTCGCTAAATCGCCGATTTTACACGTATTTGGTGCATATCAATTAAAGAGATGCTATACTCCACGAGGAGTATAGCGCCTGCCTTATTTGTCTCATTTCAGGTTGATTTCATTGTCTAGTGACGTGGGATTGGAGAAGCAGTTTGATAAAAGAACATCTCTGGCTTTAGAAGAAAGCAGTTTAAACGTTGGCGCAATTGTTCTGCAAACACGAAACGTGACGATTTGGAACAATTATACTTTTTTTCAGTCGCCGAAAGTAGCCTTAATCGAAAAGGCTTGGAAAAAACTGCTGATGATCTGTTCATGCAACTTACAGAGCTCCTTTTGAAAACTCGGTTCATGTTGGCTGTAATGCGTTAATGTTTCGATGCTCTGGAATAAGATACACGGCTAACAGGAAAATTCTCTAAATGTGCTCGTTTGGAAGATTTTTGATTTTTCGGAGAAGTCAGATGGTAGCAAATACAGTTTGCACTACGACATTTGAGTCCGTTTATCAACTCTTCATATTTATATAATAAAGTCAACAAAAACAAGCACTCAATTACGTGTGGATGCTAATTTGGAACTTTATGTGGGTTTATGAAGAGGTTAAACTATCAGCTGGACCATTTATGACGATTTATTTATTATATCAGAGTATACGTTTTTGCTGGTGACTACCTTAGAGGTCAGGAAGAATAAGGAAGAATACTGGCAAACTTTGGCGATTCTCTGAATCCTTGTAAGGTATATGTAGGCTTAATACATAGTTGAAGCAGAATAGAACGAATTTGTTATAAAGCCTTCGTCGACATAGCTCCATAAGCATTAAAAGTGAAACTAGCGAAACATTGGAAAGCATGAGTACGCAAATGCATATCGGCGCTTTTGTTCTGATCTGATGTTCTGATGTATATGCAGAATGGGTCCAGCGGGACAATTATACGGAGTGTCCCAAAAAGATATGCACACTGTTTGATCGTTAATAACTCTTTTGTCATGTCTTCTGCCGAGTTTGAGGTACCAAGCTGTAGAGCAAGGATAAACTTAGTTTAACGGTATGGAGCAAATCACCAATCGCTCTTCGTTACTGTAGGATCACGGTATGAACTTTCAGCATACAGCGTCACTGTGGAATAAGCCTTTTGATGCAATATTTTTGAAAAAATCTAAAAATCTGTGTAGCAAGGTTTTCAGGCGTGCTGATTTCAATACATAACTTTTAACCAGTTTTTCGAGCTTCCTCGATGGCGTATTCACATTTCTGACAAACATTGGAAAATCAGTTGTTACCCTAAATCTGAAATAACTCATGAAAGAAACAGTGTACTGACGTCCAATTTTCATACTTAGAATCAGCTACTTCGATTAACCCAGTTCAAGAGTTTCTGGCTTGTTTGGCTTTCTTTCTGAGGCAAAATACCGCTTTCAACGGCCTAAAATCCTCTTCGAAATTCCTACCGTAATCCTACAGTAAAGAAGGGCTGCTGATAAGTCGCTCCATACTGTAAATCTAAGTTGAATCTCGCTCTAAAGAATCGTACCTCATGCTTGGCAGAAGATGTGAAAACAGGAGAGTTATTAACAATCAAACAGTGTGCACATCTTTTAGGACACCCTGTATTGTGAATTGTCTATTTTTCTTATATCAGCTTGATAAGACTAGTCATCGCATCAGTTGCTTTTCAAAAAGTATCAGATGAGAACGAAACATATTTTGTTTAGCAGCAAACAAAGAGTGCAATGCCCTATGCAATAAGGCATCTGTTGCACGTTTCAGAAATCCGTATCACGGCTTTCACCAAAAAAAATCATGTCATTGCCAAAACTGGAGAGGGGATTTTCAGATGGATGCAGTTAATGCTAGTCATGCAAGCGAGACAAACCAAGACAGTGAAGTAGAAAGGGACGGAAATTTGGGTGAGTCAAAGTTTAATGAATGGTAGGATTCGCTGCGTTTATGTGCTGCAGTTTGCTAATTACTGGCTCAAAGGAATAGCTCTATTTTCATGAATATTAGGTCGATCTGAAAGTCGTGCAGTTTTTGAGATTACTCCTAAAATTGTTCAAAATAACGAAAGGCAAACGCTTTGAACAGTGTTCGGTGCGGAATTTCTTCTTCTTAGCAGTAGTGTCACTGTTTCGATTTCCTTGATGTTCATTCGACCATCAGAGTCTCCCTTTGATTTTATCTGCCCTTATTTTAGCTATTTTTCAAAATTTCCATTGCTAATTTTTGGAAGAGCTTTGATCACAGTAGGATAGAGTAAACCAAATGCAAGACAATGCACTATTTGGGGTGGAGGACACTAGTTCGCCGAATTTGGAAGAGTCCCGCGCGGAATCCCTGCAGGAACGCTTGTCCGCATATGTGCAAGGGTGCGTATTTGTCGCAAATGACCGCGGGGACCGCCCTCTTTCGGCGACCTAATGTCCTCCACCCCACTATTTGGTATTCGTGAATTTTCCTAATTTTTGAAATGATTTTTTGATGCTACCAACTCCCATATTCAGTCATCTCAAATCTCATAAAACATCAGCGAGCTCTCATAAAACATCAGCGAGCAACTTAGGTGTCATTCAATGCGGATTGTTTTCCTTTCTGTGGCAGATTTTCTCCCTGTTCGTGAGGGTTTCAAAGCTAGAATGACCACAATTCTAGTTTCTTGAGCTGTACCCGGAAAAATTAATATCGAATGTAAGCACTTTTTAGTGAATTTAGCGTTTAATTATCGACATTTGAGAGTTTCAAATTCCGAAGTTTCACTGGTTTTTGAAGCGTTTGTCTTTTCTATGACTTCGCAAAAATGAAGGACTTGCAAGGCAGTCGAAAAAGCTCAAAAATCCATTGTCTTGCGTCTCTACTATGACCAAGATCAGAGCTCTCTCAAAAGTCAGAAATGAAAACTCCAAAAAGTGATTAAAAATGATGGCGGGTAAAAGTCATTGGCGGAAGGTCCTAACCTTTGTTCGAGCACGACAAGGATCTCGAAACAAAAACATCACTTTTAAAAAGAGGATGCACCGGATGTCTTTTGGAGCATTTGCCCATCATTGCTATGAGCGGTTTGGGGAAAGGTCTAAAAAACGGCACTAATTTTGGACCAACCTGGTATAAGAACCAGCGGCAGCAAACCATCAAAATTTGATTGAACTCCACCGGGATGTCATACTATAGAACTCCTTCTCGTTTTCTGTTAAATGCGGTGTGTTTTGGTCCTTTCTGAAGTGTCTTTTTTTGTTCTTCCAAAACTCATATCTTTTAACTCAATTGAAAACACGTATGTTTTGCACACTTATCACAAAACACTAATGAGGGTTTTATCGAAGTATTATAGCACGGGTCACACCACTACAAATTGATAAATTGTGGTTTTTGTCTGAGGTAGAGGCCACCTTTTGAAACCACGTGCAATTCACGCTGTTTGTTTATGCTTTGGAAATTTGACGTCAAAAAGATGCTTGATTTTCCGATAAGCAGTTCTCTAATGTAGCAACTATACAGGGATGACATCTTCAGATTTCGCGTGAAAAATAGTGGCATTGATTGTCAAAAAGCTAACACATGTCACAACATATTGTATAATACACCATTTTCAGAATGTTCGACGTCAGTGGAAGAGGGTCGGTCTTGGTTTCGATACGTAGTGCTAGCTCTCACTATTCTCTGCCTTTCATCCATCATGGCAAATATTGTGTGCTTCAACTTTACCGTCCTGTGTATGCCTGGCACTCAAGACCCAGCTGTTCTTAACAACGTGTGTGCCATGTTTCTGATAAGACCTATGCATCTCCTTAGCCAAATTTTGGAGTGTCTTTTTAAAGCTTTTGAATTAGCACAGTTTCTGGCCCGTAGTAAAGCTCAGTCAAAAGAGATGACCTCCCCTGAGGCCTTTATTTGAGGTTCCGTCAGGTGAAATGACCACCGCCCGCTTCCCTATGCTATAAGAATGCAAAGTCATCTGACATGTGAGCCTCAGGTCGGCTTGGCATGGAGATATCCCTGCCGAGTCGTCGGAGATGATCCGAGCGATGATCTCCCAAAATAGTGTGCTAATGAGGAGATTTAGAGAGAATTTTCGTAGTTACTTTCGAGTGACTTACGGTACACGTCAGTTCAACACGTCGAACAATACTGAGGAGCCACTGTGCAGGCTGACGATCTTCGACAGGATCTAACAAAGGCGGCCACATCTCCGCCGCCAGTACCAATCACAAAGATGTGAATGTTTGGCGAACGGGTTTTTAATTGTATGCTTGCATGAACGTTGCGTACTCAATCATATCAATGTGGATTTTTGGAATCATCAATTAATGGCTCAAATAAGGCAAATGACTTGTCGAAGCCACAACTGAAGCTCTTCTCAGATGAGATCGAATCACGGCTCGACACGAGCTAGCAGCAGGAAATTTTCAAAACGAACTCCTCTTTGACTTTCCCAAAATTTTACGAAGTCCCCTTTGACCCTCAACAACATCCCCTCTAAAAACCTGAAAAATTCCCCAAAATCCCCCAAAAACGAAACGTCGACTGAAAAAAGGTCGCCAATTTTTGACTTGTCTTCGCCCACAAAAACGAAACCCCCTTTGCTTTTTGCCCCAAAAACGATATCCAGCTTGCCCCGTGCCAGCTGGTGCCAGGCAGGCCCTGGATCGAATGAGGCAGCTTGGACCTCTATCTCACAACGCTCAACCCCCATGTAGCTTCTCCCCTCCCCCCCCCCTTCCACTCGAAAATAGATCGCGACCTTTTACTAAGATTTTGGGATTATGTGCCCCTAAAAATTTTATAAAGGATCCAAAAAATTTTTTTGCCGAGTGCACGACTAACTCTACGCTCCTTCATTCATAAAATTTTTGTCTTTATTTTGAACGGCAATCCTGAGATCACCATTGTTGGATGTATATGATGGGGTGGTCATCTGAGTATTCGTTTTGGGCGGAGAATTTTTTTCGCGGCATTTGAAAAGCAAGAAAATCCATAGAGTGTTTCCCAATATTTTTGCAAAAAAATGCATTTTTTAATCTTGAAGAATCATCTTTTGCAGACTCAAAATCGCGGTTACAGCAATGATGAACGCACATGGTTGTTCAGCGCTGTCGCAGTTGGTGCTCTAGTCTCGGTGGTACCAATTTCGCAGGCTATCGCTAGCTATGGAGCTCGGCAAGTAGGCGCTTTTACTTGTGCTTCGTATGAATGTTTAGTAGTTTTGCTAGGTATTTTTTGCCCCTGGGATTCTGAGTGCGATCTCAACGGCATTTATTCCAATGGCAGCCCACCACAGCTTAAATGCTTTTCTGTTTCTGCGAGTTGTCCAGGTAATTGATATTACCTTAAGTCAAATTGTTGATGTTCGAGCTTTTCCCTTGAAAAGTGATTGCCTATGAATAGACATCTTCTAACTGAACACTCAATGATTTCCTACAAAAGTTTTGTGTATAAGAGAAGGGCACAACGGCGCGTTTTCTGAATTCCCAAATCTCTCATGACTCCTCTTTTTCTAACGACTATGTCTGCTTTGTTCATTCGAATCAATTGAGCACTAAAATTTTTTCCAGCACAGCACGTCAATCAAAGTGCGCAGTCATCCGCTGAACATATTGTCAAAGTGGGAAATAAGCGCTCCATGTTTCTGAACAACACGACTTTGTTTTCTGAAAATCCGACATCAATCAATTGGCATAAGTTGGAGACCTGGCCCGTAGTAATTCCCCCTGCTGGTAGTCGCGACCTTAGAAATACCTCACACACCCAGTACGTGTCGTTTCGGCCGCGATTCATCCAGCGGCTATCTCTTATCACGGCCCCCGGGTGAAATCAATGGACTTCGTGACTGTGGGACGTGCGCGTCTCCTTCACATCGGACGAGCACGTCATGGGCGTTGTCACTTGCCGGTCAGACAAAGCAAGATAGTGTGCTCAGCGTGGAGACGCAGGAAGGCGCGCTTGATTAGGGGTCGAGTAAGCCGAGTTCGTCCTATAGCAAGAATCGTAAGCAAACATCAGTGGGTTCAACGTACGTCAAATGCAACCAATATCAACACGATAAGCGAGAATTACATAGGCGCTCATCATTTATTCTCTTCTTCAGCGGTTATTTCCCTTTTTTCGCAATAGAAGCTGGACTAGGTTCATTCCGATAATCGTGCCCTTCACAACCTTTTCCAACCAATTTTATTGTTCTTCTAGCAGTTTTAGCTTCGATTTTTATTTTGCAGCCAATTTAGATATTTTTTCTGCATGTCTATTTTTTATGATGACTTACAATTTATGTTGTCACCAATATAATTTTTGCTGTATTTCCTTCCGTTCTGCTCACCAATTGCTTTACTTCCATATAAGTAAGGAAGTCATTTGGTGCTGTGGCTAACGGAACGGCGTGTGTCTGCACAGATTAAATGACAATTATTCTATCACCCTGCTTTCAAGAGATAAGCCGCACTTTTTCAAATTTTCCCACGAGCTGCTCAGCCGCATCCTTGTGTTTCGAGAGGCGATCCCTATGCCGCACGATTCTTTCAGGCAATACGCAGAACGGTGTAGGCCCCCTTCGTTGCGAGGTCATTTGATGTGTTCGGGCTGGTCGATGTAAGCCAGGACCACCCCGCGGCTTATACACCTGGAAATAGGGCACATTGTTTCTGTTTTAGTTTATTTTTGGCTTTGGCCATACTTCATCCGTGTTGCCTGTGTTACCTGTGTTTCCAGTGTTACTCGTGTTTGTTACTAGTGTTACCCTGTTACCGGTGTTACCAGTGCTGCTTGTGTATTCGTGTTACTAATGTTACTCATGTTACTGGTGTTAATGGTGTTACCTCTTTTATTGCTGTTGAATAGTGAAATGATCACAATACAGTCTCATTTTGAAACGCAATATCACTGACTGGTAAGTAACTAGTTACCTAGCAACACGAGTAACACGAGTAACACTGTAATACGGGTGCACGAGCAACTTGAGTAACACGAGTAACACTAATAACACCGGTAACACGGGTAACACGGGTAAAGTATGGCCAAAGCCTTTGATAACTTATCTCCAACTTTATCTGTAACTCTATCCCCAACTTTTTGAAACTCTGAAATTTATGAAAATGGAGCAAGCATGTGTTCTCATCGATGTGCAAAATTTCGCTTCATCTGAAGCTCGTACCTCCACCTCTCGCTCAGTCGCCCTCGACAGCGTCACTGCGCTATCAGTACTGCATGCTAAGGAATCAAATTTAATCCTTACATTATCGAAATACCTCGAAGGTATTACAACCAAGGGGTGGTAGTGTACACTCAACGATATTTAGCACGGGAAAAGCTGCTTGTCGTTTTCCCTATACTGTTTGGGTAAGCTCTATCCAATTTATGCACCCTTCCCTGTTGATATGCCACAAATACAAACAGAAATATGCGAATGAATGCGTGCGAGCCTCTTACAATGACTTGCGGGGCCCATTATCAAGAGTCAGCTTTTATCCTCCCAGCTTACTCTGGTACCAACTTACCGGTCCCGAAGGGTATGCTTGGTTGGCCCAGAAGCGAGAACTGATATTCGATATTCCCAGTCCATGTATGCCCAGCGCAATGTCACTGCGCGCTGCTCATCGGAGAGTTCGATCACGCGTCCACCCTCAGATTTTGCGACGACCAAGGCATGGTCGTGAGCAGCATGTGCTTCAGTAAAGGAAGTTGAGAAACTCAAACTGTTCGTACAATGGAGCAGATTTTGGCTAAATGCTCCAAACATACAAATTAAGCAAGAAACACGTGTAATCCTCGCAAATTCAACAACCTATGGATTGACTAGAAATTTTTGAATTTGTGCTCTGTGAAGCTTCTTTCAAATCAACTTTTCTACAGTAACACAAGTCGATAGCTTTTCGCTAAGAAATGAAACACCTTATCTTCAAAGGTGCAAAAATCATCAGTTCTTTGAAGAATGGAAGAGCAGTCATCACTGCTTTTGGACCATTCTTCCGAACACTTTTGGAGCTGAAAAATGTTGCGTTCCCTCGTTTTTGAATGAAAAGCAGAGTCAAGCTTAGTTTCACGTTAACAGCGCGGGAAAATATGATTCACATACGCAGAGATAATCCAATATTATTCAAGGATCTTGCAAGAAAACTTCAATCTATTTCTAAACAATCCATCGTATTTCTTCAACTTGTAGGGTATGTCCTTCGCTGCTTGCATGCCCACAGTCGGTTCAGTAACAGCTGCTTGGGCATCCTTGAAGCAAAACGGCCTTTTCATATGTTGTCTTACCACATTCGGCCAGATAAGCTTGATCTATGCGATGCCGGTATCAGGACAGGTAATTGATTCGATTCTCATCTTAGGATTCTTCTAATCTATTTGATCCTAACTCTTCAGTTATGTGCATCCTCTTATGGTTGGGAGGCCGTTTATTATCTGAATGCGGCACTTACCATAATATCTAGTTGTGCTTGGTTTTGCTTATATGCTAATAACCCAGGTATGAACAAAGTGGTCAGTCATAATCAAGAAGGTCTCATTTTTATCGCACCATTCTATGGTTTCCTCATATGAGTTGGCCGATATCAATCGTGGCAAATCCTTGACATCAATAAAGGTGAGTTTTGACCTTTATTAGTAATGGAAAAACATGCTTATAAAAACCACTTTCCATTCTCTCGTTTTTGCACACATTCTTCAGCAGATACAGTAAAGTGCATCAGACATTATATTCTCTAATAAAAGAATGTTTTATGAAGAAAATATTTACGCGAAATGGAGCTAGTAGACTGTTGGATAAGATGGAAAACTAACGCTAGAAACAAATTTCCAAATGATTCTAGCAAAAGTTTGCATCGATGAACCGCTTTTGCGCAGCCGCATATTCATTATCTTATATATAAAGCTGAATGTCTGTTTGTCTGTCTGTCTGTCTGTCTGTCTGTCTGTATGTATGTATGTACGTATGTTCCGAATAGAAAATTCCATTTCTGAACCGATCCGAACCAAACTTGGCACACATACACTTCGGGCCCCGGCGGGTGTCATAGGCTACTTTTCGTCATCGATCGATATCGATTTTATCGATTTTTATCGATTTTTTTGCTGAGTTCACCTACGGGGCTGGGAGTTGGCACAGGGGGGTAATCGAGCATGGGGATTCCGAATACAATATTGGTTTTCAGGATTATCGATTACTTTTATCGATTTTATCGATTTTTTTGCAAAGTTTGAGCTACGGGGCTGGGAGTTCGCACAGGGGGGTAATCGAGCATGGGGATTCCGAATACAATATTGGTTTTCAGGATTATCGATTACTTTTATCGATTTTATCGATTTTTTTTGCAAAGTTTGAGCTACGGGGCTGGGAGTTCGCACAGGGGGGTAATCGAGCATGGGGATTCCGAATACAATATTGGTTTTCAGGATTATCGATTACTTTTATCGATTTTATCGATTTTTTTGCAAAGTTTGAGCTAGGGGGCTGGGAGTTGGCACAGGGGGGTAATCGAGCATGCTGATCATCCCCAAGGGGGGTGATCAGCATGCTCGAACACCCCTGTGCCAAATTCCAGCCCCCTAGCTCAAATTTTCAAAAAATCGATAAAATCGATAAAAGTAATGGACGATCTTGAAAAGTAATATTGTATTCGTAATCTGCATGCTCGATTACCCTCTGTGCAAACTCCCAGCCCCGCAGGTCAAACTTTGCAAAAAAATCGATAAAATCGATAAAAGTAATGGACGGTCCTGAAAACTAATATTGTATTCGGAATCCCCATGCTCACTTCCCCCCTGTGCCAACTCCTAGCCCTGTAGGTGAACTCTGCCAAAAAATCGATAAAATCAATAAAAGCAATCGATAATTCTGAAAACTAATATTGTATTCGGAATCCCCATGCTCACTTCCCCCCTGTGCCAACTCCTAGCCCTGTAGGTGAACTCTGCAAAAAAATCGATAAAAATCGGTAAAATCGACATCGATCGATAACGAAAAGTGGACTGTGACACCCGCCGGGGCCCGAAGTGTATGTGTGCCAAGTTTGGTCCGGATACGGCGGAGCCGGGTAAGCCAGCTAGTCTTTAATAATCGACGAAAGCCAAATAAAGCACTCGATTTAGTGCATCTTAAAGGCAGTGTCCAAGCAAAAAGTCGATTTCTAGATTTTGTGCTCACCTGGGCCTATTCGCTATGCTGAATCCGAAAATCACACTGGAGAGCGCGAAAACGGCGAAAAAAGGCTCTAACGCGGGAGAGAAATTGCAGGTGGGCGGGGCTGTTCACATAGTGGCGTCACTCTCCCAGCTTCAGGAGCGATCTTCTCGCTTCAGTCACCCTAACATCATCACCAGCCAACTGCGAAACTCATGACATAAAAACGGTACCAAAAATACAGTCTGCCCCAATCCTAACCAGGCCAAAATTGGCATGGCGGGAGCCCGCGTCGCTAGGGTCTCGCGGTCACGCCTACGGCCTGCTTCTCTGCTCTCTCTTCAATCCTTTGGCTCTCTCCGACAGCGCGCATATGCAGCGCAGACCGCTAGCGCTGCGAGCGCGCAAATTTATGCCGACGCTTCGGCCTGATCCCGATTGGAGCAGACTGTATCGCTCTTGGAGCCCGGGAGAGTGGCGTCACAGTGTGAACGGCCCCGCCCACCTGCAATTTCCCTCCTGCGTTAGGGCCTTTTTTGGCGTTTTCGCGCTCTCCATTGTGGTTTATCGATTCACCATGGCGAATAGGCCCGGGTAAGCAAAAAAGTTTTGAAATCGACTTTTTGCTTGGACGCTTTAACCCAAGATCCGTTTTTCCGTTCTTTTGTGCGTTTTAGACCGCAGGTTCTCTCAAATTCCAGAATTCTATACCGTATCTTCAAATCTTGACAACTCCAACTATACTTGGTATATGGATCGGTGCCGTTGGATGTCTTCTCGCTTTGCAGGTAAGTAATTTTGGACAAGAAGGGAACTAGCATTGATCACAATTGTTAGGTTGGTTAAAAGGTGGTTTCGTTTCTAGATGTGATCACGAAGCCTAGGAAATATTTAATGGCATTCGCTATGCTTAGATATGTTGCAAGATACTTCAAAGTTTCTACTACCGCATGTCACTGTCTGAAGTTTTGAGGCCCTAGTGAACACAAAAGTCTTGCGCATACTGAGAATGATCGACTCTCAGATTCCTGTGGAGGCAGGTTGCGGACCTCCCTGATTTTGATTATAAGCTCAACGATAGGGTACGAAATACAATGGTATAACGTGGAGGTTTGACAAGTTTATCCTGAAAATCAGGGAAGTCCGCAATCCGCCTCCACATGAATCTGGAAGCCGATGATAGATACATATCATTCATGCTGCGACTAAGAGAAACGACCACGTTGCTTACGTCTGATTGAAAGTTTATAAGTGTGTTTTAATGCGTCTTGGTAAATTCCTTTTAGGAAGTCGTGAAAGAACATGTTCGAACTCGTTAAACAATGTACATGAACATGAATAAACATGAAGTAAGTAGTAGTAACCTAACAAAACGCTCATAAACCTATACGCAAAACGTGCTCGTGTCCGTAAGTCAGAGAATAAGTGGTAAATATCTCGATACTAGAAAGATGCTAGTGCGCAGTATGGCTACGGGCATTTGAAAACGCTGATGAGCTTGAACATCGTATTATATCTTGAGTTTGGAATTTTTTGTGGTGTGGTATAGTATATAGTGTGGTATAGTATATATAGTATAAATATTATATGGAAATCGCCTCTTACACAAAAAGATTCTAAAAAATAAAAAAAAATAAAATTTAAAAATGATTTAGAATAAGTAAACCTTGTGGGCATCAATCAAATCCACCTTTTCTTGTCTAAAACTTCAAATTCTTTGAGCTTGGAGTTTTAAGATTGTAGTGAATATTAAGTCCACTCAGCTGTGTCATTCCTTCACGAAAACGAATTTTCCCAGAACAAGTCTAATTTTTGATTTTGAAAAAGTTTTTTCCCTTATTTTTACATGTTCTAGTAATTCTTGAGAGCCGACAAATTTTTGCAAGAACTATTGGAAAGCTGCAAACGATCACAATTTCAGTTGATGCAAATGTTCTCGCCCCTTTACATTCGTGAAGTACTGCAGTATTCCGTGCAGAAAACCGGCTTTGCTGCCGCTCTTCCGGTTTTATTTCAGTGCCTTGTAAAGGTACTTGAGAATTATCCTTTCACCATTAAACTTATCGAATGAATTAGGTCGTTGCCGGCTACAGTAGCGACCAAATACGAAGCATATCGGAAACGACAAAGCTTCGCATCTACAACAGCGTTTCATTAGGAGCAAGTGCCTTGGCTTTCTGTGCATTGGCTTTTGTCAAAAAAGGTAATCGTTGGTGATGCAAAGGCTACGGCAGTGATATACATTTTTTCAGGAGAGTCTATTTGTGGGATTGTGCTCATCACACTTGCCACCGCAATGTTCGGTCTTATTGGTGCAGGTTTCGTAAAGGTGATATTCCACACATCCTTACAAATCTTACAAGGGATCCCACTTAATGTAGCGAAATGAAATGAAACACGGATCATTAGATGCGTTTTGATGAGCTGACTCCGAATTGTTTTCCTTGTCTGCGATGCGGTTCTTTGAAAAAAGCTATGAGTGATCAATAGTGTGAAGCCGTTGGGGATTCAATGCATAATGTGCCTGGAAATCCAACTTGGGGAACTCTAACCCAAACATTTCCTATGTTTTCTTTCCCTTCACATTTCTACATTGTTTCAGCATTTCTGAGTGCAGAGGAGTCTTTCACAAGTGCTTGTTCATACTAATAGTTTGTGCCGCATTTTTGTACCGCACTCCTGCACATTTTTTTGAAGTAGCAAATTTTCAAAATCACTTAAAAATTCGCCGACGTTTGAAACATCGTTTATACCTCAACTTCGGCTAATTTTCACAGCTTTATCTTAGTTTTTTGAACGTTATTTGATAGTAGGCGGATAAAGCAACACTCTACGACACAATTTTCTGCGAGCTCTTTCAGACTACTAAAAATCAGGATAAATAAAGGATAAAGATTTCGGTGTTTTCAATACCGTCTGCGAGCATGCACCAAATGTATTCTATCTTATAGTCGAAGAGGCTATTAAATGCGCGCGGACCTTTTACAGTGATTTGCGGGGCCAGTTAATTTATCAAGTTGGTGCTATTATCTTCCAAATTGTCTGGTACCAATTTAGCGGCCCGGGGCAGAGGGTTTGATTGGCCCAGAGGCGGGATCGAACGTGCGTCCGATTTGGTCATAGCAGCGCCTCGTGCCGCTACACCATCCGTCCCCTCTACAGGAAATTTTCGAGAAAATTTTGAAACGTGTTTACCTCTGCGAAATTGATTGTTGGGCGCATCTGCACGTCAGAAGAAATTTCTGAATCTGAGTTATCATCAAACACTAGCTTGCAAAGGAAATGAGCACTTATCGTTTTGAGATACAGGTGTTTCATTTTCAAGTAAATCATGTGCACTTTTAGAGTTGATCTGGGAATGATTTTATTTCAATATATGTATGTTCGACGAATGTGGGAGCTAAAATAGCTGCTAGAGCAAGTATGCAACAATCTCTATATCTTGTAAGAACTGCATAAGTTGTGTAGATTTTCGACCTGTTAGTTTCACCCTCTAGTCCCCTCAGTAACGGGAAGAATAATGGTCTTGAAATATATCCAATTTTTTTCAGTGTGCGACACTAGTGTCACGGCAACATAGCCATTTCGTGCTTGCTAATATTCAAAACATCTGGTGCTCTACCATGTTGATCTGTCCAGTCGTGGTAACATCTGCAGCCGTTCGAGTCCTGTCGTAAAACATTGTTTGGATTTAGGTTTCATTTCTGCTTCCCACAGGAGCTATGGAAGAGTGGCGAGCACTATTTCTCGTTCACGCTGGTCTGTTGCTTCTATCAAACGCAGTCTTTTGTTGGCTGGCCACTGCGAAACCTGCGCCATGGACGGACTCATCCATCACCACGTCGTCTAAGAAGAATACTCCGATGATTTCATGGGGATTCACAGTCTAAAATCTTGTGCAGATGATCTCATGCCATAGACCACATTTCTGCTATGTTTTGCTATCTGGGGCGGTAGTAATCTACCCTACCTGGTGGCATCATAGATGTCGGCAAGATGGCACACATACGGATAGAACTTTTGGAGATATATCGTAAACCTTTCAAAACCAGATTAAGGTAATATCGATCCTTCGTGGTCTACAGTGGGTTTTGAAAATGAAAGTGTATCAGAACGCCAATTGCTGTAGGGCGGAGGACCTGACATGCGCGGTGCCGGAATCTACGGGAACTACGACCAAGCACCGACCATTTCAAAACTCATTTTTTTGGTTGCGCAACAAATTTTTGGAAAGGATTCAGAGTAACTTTCAAATTTCAAATTGACTCTCTGAAAGAATGTGGGATTATATGTGTGCATCGGCACCAGCATGTGTCACCGCTTGCTTATTGTACTCCTCTTCAAAGGGGTCTGCCGCTGCTTTGCAAAAGGTTCTGAAACGCCTCGCGCTGCCCCGCCCTCCTACACCTGCTATCGGTACACCCACCTTCACATAAAAGTAGGTTCCTCGCGTGCGCATCTTGTACATAGTCTGCTTTTAACTCCATCGCAAAGTTCATATATTGAGCAGCGCAGCCGCCAACTCAGACGAATTCTACATCTACCACGAGTGCTTCAGTGCGCGAAGTGTAGTGGGGTTCTTCCACGCCTGCTACACGGTGGTGGTGAAGCCTCAGGAGTTTGATTTACTGGCCCTAGGGATAGCATTTTCTGGTCCCTTTTCTCCTCCCTTATGTGTAAGCTGAGGCCTTCAATATGAGGATAAATGTTGGGCATTTCTTTATTTTACAACGAGCTATGAAAACTTCCTCCTCCCATGACTCGCGCTCGCAACCAAGAAGCTAGACGAAGACTTCGAAAAGTTCTGAAAAATGAGTTTGCATTTGTATAATCTCCGCGTTTCCTTTCATCTGCACAAAACCCTTGACAAGAATGGGCGTCTTTCATTTTAAGGGAAGTACTATGCGATAAGAGTTTCTTTGTAAAAAGTTTGGACAGCGTTTGCAAGCATGCGTTGGAGTGAATGAGAGCAATCTGGATCGCAAAATTTTGTTTTACAGGCACTGTTCTCAGTGCATTGGTCACGTAAAGTAGCCGAATATGTTTTTCGGAGCTGGAGATCCAAATGTTAGGATCTCTAGCATGAATTACTTCTTTGAAGCACAGAACCACGATTACACATAACGATTGCAGATGAATGTTCAAAATCACTTCTCATTTTTGTTATTCCTTTTTAACTTTTTTCCTCAACGAAAACACATTAAAAACCTAAACATAATGTATCCGATAGCTATGGCTATACTTAGGGCAATGAGTACGATATCAATGAGGTAGTACTGCACAAATGAAAGCTGTCGATCATAAGGATCCAGATTAGGCACTCGACCAAATCCTGAACATTAGTCTGAGAAACTGAAAGTGTGGCAATGGTTCTACCTAGCAGCAAATTAGCAGTGTTTGAGAAATAGTTCCTTGGGACTGATAGGCTGGCCGCGTAGCACATCCGCTAATCTCCTCGCATTTAAAGAGTAGCTGGAAATTTATTTGCTTCAAGTAACGTCACTCTATCTCTAAGCTGGATAGTCAATTGCATACCTTGGATCATTCAGAACTTTTGAGATACTCCATTTCAGTCTGTTGGGAATTTCAAGATCAGATTTCATTAACACTATTCCACTTCCATGCCTAGCAAGCATGTGTGCGTTCCTTGATTGGTCACCAAAGATTGAAAGCTATGAAATATGCCTTAATCATCTTTTATGTTCATGCACTTCGCTTTGGACCTGCAAGAATTGCTGGCTTCCCTTGATAAGCCAATTCTATGATGCTTCCTAGACCTCCGTGCGTTACAAAGGCGGTGAGTCTTGGATCGGCTGAATGTTATGAATGCGTTAGCCATATCTTAGCAAATTACCGAGAAGATCTTCCTGCGGAAACCACGAACTGTGCACGTTCGGAAGAGATCTGCTAGATGTGCTTCCTCTTCTTCGTACTTCGATATAAATGTCGTATTAAGCATGCTTTCGAATGTTTCCAGAATAGATTTTCTATATGCGTAGCAAATCCAAGGACAAATGTGGCTTGCTACTACTACCTATACTTATCCGGCATATTTATAGTTTTAGCAGTTGACCAGAAGGAAACAAGGACTGTTGTCTTTCGTTCATCCAAAATTGCATTCCATTCCTTAGAAAATTCGTGACACACCCATAAGCTCATTAATTGCAACATACCGCAGTGAGTTCATTCTCCCCAGTTGGAGGTACTGTAAGCCCTCCAATAGGAACGGTTTTATGGAGAGTTGGATGAGGATAATCCAAGTAAGGATTCGAGTTTGTCATCACATAGGAAGTTTCAGCGAAAAACTGCTAGACGCCTTTGAAATTTTCATTAGCCATCATAGTGAATAACAATATTCAGATTAAAGTTTGGAGAATTCAAATGCTTGCCTTCCAGTCTTTGAACTGTGCACCGAATCTTTTGCGAAAAGAGTCAATCTCTTTGTCAAATGCATGCCAAAGAACTTGCCGCCGATGATAGTTCCAAGAACATTTTCGAAGCTTTCCATAAACGTCATACTATCGCCAGCGCTAGACATCTCCCCTTAAAGGCAGTAGGTCGGCAGAATGAGACCCGTGGCAAAACAAGGTCACAGGGTAGGAGCCCCATAATGGAACCTATGGACCAAGTTCGATCTTTCTCTGCCGCTTCTAACCCCCGAAATTTCAAAGCGAAAGCAGCGCTCATCTCCTGTCCTCTCCGAACCCGCCCACCCCATGGACGAGTGAAGTGAAGCCCGTCATGGCGAAGACGCAGAGTCGTTGCGGGACCTCATGCTTATAGCATTGCGGCTGGCGCTCTAACCGCGGAAGTCACTCGTCCATGGGGTGGGCGGGTTCGGAGAGGACAGGAGATGAGCGCTGCTTTCGCTTTGAAGTTTTGGGCGTTAGAAGTGGCAAAGAAAGATCGAACTTTGGCCCATAGGTTCCATTATGGGGCTCCCACCATGTGACCTTGTTTTGCCACGGGTCTCATCCTGCCGACCTACTGCCTTTAAGTCCATCTTTAATCAACAAATTCTATGGATTTCGAATATTATTTGTATAATTCCTTGATATTAAGACAAACCTGGTACGTAGCTTGGTACAATTGGCTCACCGATTGCTTCTGCGATGGCATCCATATGTACGGCGTTGTGTCTATTGAAGACCTGACTTTCGCCAATTCAAAGATTCCTGCGAATTTGCTTTTGAGCTCTCCGTAATACGGACTGTGGGCCGCATGCTAACATCTCTGATGGGGAGGGGGAGCAAACAGAAAGAAAGTCTGATACTTTGAACTTCCAGTTTTTGCATCTATAAAAATAACGAGCGTAGCGAAACGCTGTGC